CACAGAGTGAGGACAGGGCAGAGTGACCTGCGTCCCCTCCTTAACTCCTTCATGGGTCAAACCTGCAAAAACAAACAGTTTTCAGAATCACATAAACCGTCAGATGCTGTGGACACATGTTAACTTATCTGTGTGTGATGGGCTGTAAAAATGTCACAAAGCTGAAAACGATTATTTTTGAGTGCACAAAAACACTTAGTTACACAGATGAAGAGTAATCAATCACATTGAAGACTTTTCACGGCATATTAGTTTATTTTACTTAAGCTTGATAATTAGTATAATGCTTTGCTCACCTAAAATAAATGAAACAATAACTTTCTACTAGAGTTGTTTATGTTGTTTTCCACCTTTTCCTTAACCAGACCCTGCAGGGTTAACCTGAGTGTCCCAGTTTGTTTAACCAGGAGGATCCCAGGCCTGATTATTGTTGATGTATTACAAATATTCTGGTTTTATTGTTATTTACTTCATTCTGAGTAAATAAATATCCATGTAATATAGTTCAAAGTTAGCGTCGTGTTCATACATGTTAAAAATGCCTGTAAATCAAATGAGCTCAGTGACAATTACTGTTTGTTTGAATCAATTTATTAATAACATAAAACCTTTAAACTGATGCAACACACATAACAATGTCACAAATATATTCAACTAAATAAATTTCTCAATGCATAACTCATTTTGGAACTAATCTTTCTAGAGGTGAAAACAGTCGGTCCATCCTCTCCCTGCTCTCCTCTCCTCAGCCTCTCTTTGCTGCCTCATGTCCTCTCTGATCAGGTCTAGCAGCTCATCATCTCTTCTCCTCTTCCTCCCTGTTGTGGGTGGCTGACACGCTTCGTCATCGCTGTCGTTTAAGTCACCCACTGCTGTGCTTGGCCGTGGAGTGTCCTCAGGCAGAGAGGACACTAGGACAGAGGCCTAATGGAAGGCATCTGTCCTGTCAGGGGTGATCAAGGAAACACATGGGAGGACAGCAGGAACCAATCAGACACAGCGAGACAGGGCAAGCAAACGTGAACACAATGCACATGAGACAAGCACTATCAAAATAAAACAGGAAGTAGCTCTGTGTGGTTTTTGTTCAGGGGAAACACGGAAACAGAACGGACGGAGCAGAAAAAGGAGAAACACAGAGGAAATGGATGAAGGTGAGGAAGAGAGAGAGGCAAACAACCATGGAGACAAGACTGACTTCCACAGGAAGCACAGAGGGAAGTGAACGACCTGATCAGCAAACTCAAAAGCACCAGAGGACTAAACTAGGAAGCACAAATCTCATAAATCTCTCTAAGAAAACAGCAACGATTCAGAAGTGCACAAACACAAAACACTGGGCCAACGAGCCAGAACCACCACCCGCTGATCGCCAATCAGGAAGCACTAATTTCCTGATTGGAGGTTGAACTGTCGTATGAAGCACTCAGTCTTTTCTAACGTTTTATAGTCCGAACAAAATGACTTCGTTCATCTGTAAAATAACTGAGGGATAATTTTAGGACAGATTTACTG